CGGCTGCTCGGGGCTGCACGTCGCGTACCTGAGCGGCACGGAGGCGCAGGAGCACCCGGCTCCCGCCCACAGCTTCAGCGCCAAGGACGTGGCAGAGCTCAAAACATCCCTGTTATCCACCCCAAACTTCAGAGGAGTGGACATCCTGCTGACCTCCCCCTGGCCCAGAGACGTGGGCACCTTTGCCAACAGCGCGGTAAGTGGAGCGTTTCCTGGTTTCTGGGTGGATTTGACAAAGGATTCCCTTTTGCTTGCTGTGGCAGTTTGGGCTGTTGGGCCGTCTCATGAGTGCATGAGAAAGCTGGGAGTGAAAAAAGAACAGTTTGGTTCTTCAGAAAAGAAGGACTGAAGGGGAGGAGGATTTGTGAAGCTTCATGGGGTTTTATCTGTCCCTGCCTGGAAGATCCAAGTGTGGGGCCTTCACCTGATCACAAGCGTTGCTCTGATTTCAGTTGGTTGCAGCTGCTGTTGAATGAAGCTGCTGCTCTCTGAGGAGGAATGCTGTGCTCTAAGCACCTCCAGTACCACTTGACATCAAGTCATTCTTTTTTCCCCCCTTCCAAACTTTTGAAGCGTTCTGGTGTTTATTTCCTCGAGTATCAGTCAGCTGGTCTGGTTGTTCCTCCATCTGGACTTTGAGCATGTTGTTTAATTTGTGTCCAGTTTTGTGTTGTTAATGTTCCTTAGCAGAAGGGATTTTCCAGTTGTGAGTTCAGATGATCTCAGACCTTCCTGGAGAGCAAGGCTGCACATGTGGCAAAAGGACATTGTTTGCTCTCAGTTTCTTCCAATGTCCAAAAAGATGCTCAGTGTAAAAGCATTAAGAACCTTCCCTGATCTTGGTCTTATCTTATGCATTATCTTGTAAGATGATATATGCATATCTTATAAGATTCCCTTATGCACTGAGATCCTGACAAACTTGGATTGATGAAACAAGTGGATGCAAACTGAATACACAGAGTGGAATAAATGAGTCGGCTCTGGTTGGCAATAAAAGGTCAAAGCCTCTGGGCTTTTTTCCCCCACTTCCAGGGAATGGCAACCACTATACTACACATCCAACATGTAGTTCTGTATAAAACTGTTTCTTTTCACTGCACTCTGACAGGTTGAAGTAAAACTTGGCTTGTATTGTGCAGGGAGAAATAGATACCAAGACATGTGGCTCCAAGTTGGTATCAGATCTGGCTGCAAGTCTCAAACCAAGGTACCATTTTGCTGCCCTGGAGAAGGCCTATTACGAAAGACTTCCTTACAGGTTTGTAAAATCTTGTGAAATCTCCTTTGTTTTTTAATAAGAGTTCTGTTTTGAGAGAACACTGGAAGGCTGGTGTGCTGTCTGAGTATCTTTTCAATGCTTCATGTACCTGTAGAGCCATGTTTTGCTTCCTTACAGAAATCACACAGTGCTACAGGAGACCCCACAGCATGTGACCAGGTTCATTGCACTTGCTGATGTTGGCAATACAAGCAAGAAAAAGGTACTGACAGCCTCGAATCTTCCTTCTTTTGTCAAGTACAGTTGTAGGGCAGTAAGCCCAGCTTTGGCCAGCTAAAGGACAGCGTCAGGACTTGAAAGCTTGGCTGAAGTGGAGGTGTCTGTCTCACTTGAGTAATAGGTACCATTAGCCTGTTATGTCAGAAGGGTGAGGGCTGCAGGCACAAATCACCGAAAATAACTGATTTCTGGGATGGGAAGGGGCTGTTTGGTTTTTTTTTTAACCTGTTTCTCTTGTCCCCTTATGAAAGTTACCAAATATTGGTGCAAAAGGACAGGTTGGCAGTGGTGAAAAACTTGCAGGGTTCAGAGTTAAGAAATTCTGGCCACAGTGGTGAAGTTCACTCGGCTGCTGTCCTGCAGACGAGGAGTTCTCTGGCGTTCAAAACATACTGTTTTTTTGTCCTTTGGCAGTCCCTCTCTCTCATTCTCATTCCTCTAGTAATCAATGCATTCAGCATAAAAGTAAACTCAAAATTCCTAATAAGCAACACAGAGGAGAAGACTCTCCCATTCCTGAGGCTGAGGGATACTCCAAATGAGTAGTCAGGGAGTAAATTCCCACAGCTGCTCGCAGTGAGTAACTGATAACAGAAAAGGTTCTGGACAGAAAGAAGGCCTGGAAACAGGCAAGGATCAAGGTTGTGTCTCCATCAAGTAGGATACACTGGTGCTTTTCAAAGAGATCTTTCCTTAAAGTGAAAGCAGCGCCTTGGGAGCGCTCCATAAACTCCTGGTTGCACTGGGTGGGACCCTGGCACAGGGGGGGTGTTTTCCCACGCCCTGATGTGGTGAGTTGTGCTGGTATGTGATCCCTTCAGAGGTGCAGTCCTAGCCCCTGAGCCCCCTGTGCTTGTTGCAGTACCTCTATGCCTTCAGCATCGTGCCCATGAGCTCCATGGACCCCGCGGAGCTGGTGAAGCAGCCGCAGGACGTCACAGAAAACCCCTACCGGAAACTGCGCAAGGAGGCTGCCAGGGCCAGAGCAGAGGTACCGCCCCGGGCCCCTCCTGTGTGCCCTGGGAACACTGGTTGGCTTTCCCCTGGGGAGATCTGTGAAAAACTGCAGGGTTCTGTGTGAACTGTTTGCAGCACCCCAGCTGTAGGGGTGCGATGATGGGAGGTGGTTGGTGTGCCCCTTCTGAAACCAGCCGTGTCCTGGGCTCGTCCCACAGCCAGGGCAGGGCAGGGCAGGTGATGCTGCACCTCTGCTCTGCTCTGCTGAGACCCCACCTGCAGTGCTGCCTCCAGCTCTGGGTCCCCCAGCATAACGAGAACATGGAGCTGCTGGAGCAGGTCCAGAGGAGGCCATGGAGATGCTTCAAGGGCTGGAGCACCTCTGCCCTGTAGCCAGGCTGGGAGAGCTGGGGTTGTTCAGCCTGGAGAAGAGAAAGCTCTGGGGAGTGGCCTTTCAGTCTTAAAATCTTCAGCCATCAGAAAGGTGGGGACAAGATTTTTTTAGTAGGGCCTGTAGCTACAGGACAGGATGTCAAGTCTGCTGCATTACTTGGGAAGCTCAGTTCATTCTGTTCCTGGATGTTCAGGAGGCATTTCTTCACAGAAAGGGTGGTCAGGCATTGGAAGGGGCTGCCCAGGGAGGTGGTAGAGTTCCCATCCCTGGAGGAGTCCAAGGAGCAACTGGATGTGGCATTTAGTGCTCTGGTCTGGTTTACAAGGTGGGGATCAGTCACAGGGTGGACTTGATGATCTTGGAAGGGTTTTCCAACCTTGGTGATTCTGTGATGTTGATGCTTTTCAAAGGTGGTTCACACCTCTGCAGGAAAAATCTTATTCCTGGCTGTACTGTCACTCTCTGGGATGCAGATCTAACGGGCTTTGCTTTTCATTTTCTGTACAGGAAGAACCAGCTCGTCAGTTTTTCTTTGACTTGAACAAGCATCAGGGAAAGAAACGTCCCTCAGATGGGAAACAGGGAGGGGACTCCCAGCCTAAGCAAGCCAAGAAACCCCGTAAGTAGGAGGCTGTGTTTTTCCTGAGCTCTTCCCTGGAGCCTTTGGATCGTGTCCCTCCACCTTCCTCAGGCTGCTGAGCTGGATGTGTCAGTTTGCCAGGGAGCTCTGTCACCACACCAGGCACTGGGGGAATGCAGGAGGATGAAGGGACTCTTGTTTCCCAGGGAAAATATGTTTCAATAGGTGAAAGGAGAGTCAAAAGCATAGTTTTAAAGCTCATTGGCCCGTGGTGGTTGTGGTTGGGCTGATGGCACTCACCCTCTGAACCAGACTGGCTTCTGAATGTGACAGTTGGCAGTGTCAGAAAGCTCAGCTCAGGTATTGCAATTTGGGTGTGAATCCAGGTGTTTTGGTGTGTGAATAGGCCAGAACTGACAAGTGTGTTTGACAGCCTCTGCCCTTGTCTGTACCCAGGCAGTGATTTTACCTCAGTTTGATTTGTTTGTTTTAATTTACTGGTGCTTTCTTATTAGTGAGCTGTAACTACTGAACTCCCGGAATCAGTGCTCTTTCATTAGGTTAGAGCACTCCATGAGAATGGCAGTCAGCAGGGTGTGACTTCACCTCCTCTCTTGCTGGAATTTCCCAGAGGCACCAGTCTCCTGACCAGACCTGCTTCCAGGAGCTCTGTCCTTCTGACACCTTCAGCACTTGATCACCTGGGAAGGGTGGCTGGAAAACAACAGCTCTTCTGTGTTCTGCCAGATATGCCTCATGCTAATCCTTGTTTCCTTTCCCAAAAAGCACAGCCCACGGGGCCCTGCTGGTTCTGCCTGGCCAGCCCGGAGGTGGAGAAGCACCTGGTTGTCAGTATTGGCACACACGTAAGTACCCGTGGCAGTGTAACATACCAGTCTCCAATTTGGAAAAACCCAAACAAACTTTATTTGCAATCGCTCTTGGGTTTGTTTTCAGTTTCTTTGTATCTCCCATACAAAAGACACAAGTATAAACTCTTAGAAGAGAAGCGTGGCTCAGTTTTGTTATGGCAGCAGAGCTGGATTCTGGTGTCAGAACACCTTTTGCTGTGCCAGCCCTATGTTACCATCTGGCAGAACGTTTCCAGCTGGAGCTCAGTGTAAACTGGGACCTGCTTTGGCAGCAGGATGTCCTGTCTGGAGTTGTGCAGGATCTCCCTGGTCCCAGGTTGGTTATATACAGATGAAACAGAAGATACCTTCCAAGTCAACATCTCAAAGTACATCTTGGAGATTAATTCAGTCATTGAATGAATGATTGATTCATGCACTTCACTTAAAGCTGTTGCTCCTCTATAGCACAGTCCACTTCAAACTGCTACAGGGACAGGTTGGTCCACAGGCTTAATTTAAAATTTTAGATGGATTTTCGTGTCAGAGTTAAGAAATTCTGGCCACAGTGGTGAAGTTCACTCAGCTGCTTTCCTGCAGACAAGGAATTCTCTGGTGTTCAAAAGATACTGTTTTTTTGTCCTTTGGCAGTCCCTCTCTCTTATTCATCTAGTAATTAATAAATTCAGCATAAAAAGAAACTCAAATAAAATTGCTAATTAACAATCCCTAATAAGCAACATAGAGGAGAAAGCTCTCCTGTTCCTGAGGCCGTGGGATACTTGGAGTGAGAAGTCAGAGAGTAGATTCCCCCAGCACGGTGAGCATGTGCTTCTGGCAGGGAGTAACTGGTGTGTATTGTTTCACTCTAGTGCTACCTTGCCCTGGCCAAAGGGGGCCTGTCCCCTGACCATGTCCTGATTTTGCCCATTGGGCACTATCAGTCAGTGGTGGACTTGTCCTCAGAGGTGCTGGAAGAAGTGACCAAGTACAAGGCTGCCCTAAAGGAGTTTTTCAGAAGCAAGGGAAAGAGATATGTCCTATTTGAAAGAAACTACAGGAGTCAGCATCTGCAGCTCCAGGTACAGTTTGGGTGTCAGCCTGGGAGGATATAAACTCGCCCTGAGTACAAACCTCACGTGAGGTGAAAGAGTCATTCAGGGGTTCGTTGTGGTGGTTTCTGTGTGTGGCAGGTCTGTGACTGTACCAGAACTGTCCCAGAACTACCACAGAGATCAGAAAGGAGAAGGCAGTGCTGAGAACTTGAAGCTTTCAGTTTTCAGCAATTTGTTCAGCTCCTACAGAAAAAAAATCTCATAAGTTTAAGCCTGTAGAGATGGGTGGTCACCTGTCTCGTGTGATGAGGCTGAGCTGTACTGAGGGGCACACCAGCCCCAGTGATGCACTGATGGCTTTCTGCAAGGGCCCTCTTTGCCTTGTCTTCATGTCATGGAAATGCCCTCTCTCTCCAGGTGATTCCTGTCCCACTGGACCTCTGCACTTCTGAAGACATTAAAGAGGCTTTTATCACACAAGCACAGGAACAACAGATTGAATTGTTAGAAATCCCAGAGCACTCGGATATCTCGCAAGTATGAGGCCACATTTCACCTGTTCTTTCCCTCTGTCCTGCTTAGGCTCCTGTTTCCCTCTAGGGTTCCTTTGTGGGGTAGGGTTAAGCTGTTGGAGGCAGAGCCTCGTAGACTTTATTTGGGGATGTGCCAGATGGATTCTGCTCAGATACGTTGTTTAGCCAAAGATTATTCCAAGCTATGTGTAGGGCTTGCTGGATGCATTCCTTCTGGTGCCAAACACCAACTCTTTTCAGCACATCAGGTAGTTTTAGGTTCTGATTTTGACAGGCTGATTTCTCAGCTGAGGAATGGGAGTGTGGCCTCTTCACTGGCTTTTCTTCCTCTAAAACT